TGGAGGCTGTTAAATCTGTCCCCTGTGACAATTTTATGGGTTTTAGGTAGGACAATAGTATCTATTTGAAACATGGTGGCCTTCAGCGTGACAAAAGGACAGAATTAGATAGTTTAAGAAAGCCAATTAACCCCTCTGCCTCATAGAAGCTGACCACACTTAGATAACACTCATGGCCACATCAGGGAGTATACACAAACCTCTCACTTAGGTTGTCAGTTGTAGATACATCTTCCCACACTCCGGCACAAGTCGTCTTGTGCACCTTCTTCAGAGACACTCAACTTAAATGTCTGTAAACACAGTTACGTAAAGCCCTACACTCCAAGGATCTGCCTTGTAAAGCACAGCTCAGTGTTAAGAAATTGCTGTTTTATATGTCTGTATTCTATAAAAGTGGATGAAAGAAAAGTGGATTAGTTGATTGTAATATCTAACCTGATTCCACCTGACATTTTGGTTCTGCAGTTTGAAAAAAAAAAAAACAATGGGGCATCTATTTGGTTAATGTAAGCCGCAACTCTACGTTTCCTTTGCTTGTCTTATTTTTTAAATTAGGTTACTATTGGCTGACATTGGAAGTTCACCAAACATTAACAGTAATTTTCCCTTCCTTTTCCCAATGTAAAGCATTATAGCCTAATTCTTGTTAAAGTGGTTGTAAACCTCAGACAGGAAATATGAACAAAGCATATCCTTCTATTTGTGTGCTTGTCTCAATTAAGAGCACCAAGTGTCTTTTCTGTCTGCTGCTTCATTCCTCTGCTATCAGCATAAATCATTTCCGACAAGTTTTCTTGACACCAAAAGAAAAATGGTGACAGGGGATTGACAGCCTCAGTTTTGTTCCTGTGTGCTGTGTGGAAGGGGCGGTGTCCCTTCCCCTTAATACTCTCTCAAAACTCATAGTTACATAGTTAGTCTGGCTGAAAAAGACAAAAGTCAATTCAGTTCAATCATAAACAAAAAAAAGTTATAATCCTATACCCACAGTTGATTCAGAAGAAGGCAAAAAAAGCCAGCAAAGCATGATCCAATTTGCTCCTCCTGGGAAAAAATAAATCCTTCCTGATCCCCCGAGAGACAATCAGATATTCCCTGGATCAACTTTACCTATAAATGTTAGTATCCAGTTATATTCTGTGTATCATTTTTTGAAGCAATCCACTGAGCTGGCCAGAACCAACTCTTGAGGGAATCTATTCCACATCTTCACAGCTCTCACTGTGAAGAAACCTTTTCGAACTCTCCTCACTAAGCTCTGCTTTCAGCTCTCCACCCCCTTTTTTTCTGAACTCTCAGACAAGCTTTATAAATTCAACACTTTGAATGGCTGTAGAGAAGAGAAGACTGCAGATTAAACAAGTACAACTTAAGTAGGAGGTTTTGTTTCATCTCTGTGTATCGCCTGAAGACAGTCACTTCACTGGGTATATGAAAGGGTTTACAACCATTTTAAGACTCAGATTAAAGTATATGTAAACCATAATAATGAACTTCTCTTATTAACTCCATTTCGAGTTTCTCAAAATGTACAATTTAAAGTGTTTTTTTGTTATATTTGATAGGTGCAAAAAATACCTGCTGGTCCTGCAAGAAATCTAGTTCTGCCTGCTATCCTGTTCACTCCGCTTTGTTATATAAAGCAGTGCCATCAACCCAGTTCACCACCATGATCTACAGAACATCCCCACTCACCCTGTGTTATTGAGATTGGTGGGGGGGTCTGTAGTTCTAGTACACTTCCTGTCCTAGACTAACAATACTTTTCCTCTATAAGTATAGTATGGTGAGCATTGTCATTGTAGGGCAGGAAATGTTTTACTGGCAGGATCACAAGGTAAAAAAGGCAAAAAGGCAGCCTACACATCCAAGAAGTGGAAAGCTGCAGTATTTTACATTTTTTTCTTAGGTTTAGACACACTTTAACTGTACCTTTAAATCTAGGGTTTTCAAACACTTGAGTCCCAGCCACCATTTTAAAAACAGCATAGAGATATTGACTTTTCATCCCAGCACCATTTTAAAAGGGCATCAGGCAGGACCCAACTCTAAGCACAGGAGCTAAACCGGTCATTAGACATTGCAGTTCTGCAATGATGTAAACACAATGCTTCTGTAATGTATTTACATTGGATGGGATGTCAAGAGTGTCTCCATGCAGCAATAGATCATGCTATAGTCTGATTGCCGCTGACAGATCACAAGTGAGTTGTTGCTACACACAACTGCATGGGTGTCTGGATCTGTCTCCACTGAACATAACCAAACACCCCCCCCCTATGAAAAAAGTGTCAAACAAGTGTATAGAGTTTCTAAAGAAAATAAAAATAAATATTCAAATAGGGGTCTTCTTAGAAAAAAAAAAAATAAACACATAGAAATTGGGCAGCACAGTGGCTAGCACTTCCACCTGGCAGTACTAAGGTCATTGGTTCAAATCCCAACCATGGCACCACCTGCCTACAGTTTGCATGTTTTCCCTGTGCCTGCGTGGGTTTCCTCCCAACTCTAAAAGACAGGCTGGAGGGTTAATTGGATCCTGTCTAAATTGACTCTAGTTTGTGTATGTATGCATGTAAGTTAGGAACCTTAGATTGTACACCCCTTGAGGGTTAGGGACTGGTGGGAATGTATAATATATATATATATATATATATATATATATATATGTGTGTGTATGTGAAGCACTGTGTAAATTGACAGCTCTATATAAGTACTTGTAATAAATAAATAATAAATTCACCCAGTGAAAGGACAAAAGGTGGACAAAAAATTTGCTATTAAGCTATTTCATGTGCTGATTGAGTGGTTTTAATTGGTTTTAAACAATAAAAACCACATTTGCGTTTTCAATGGAAAACATTCAACAGTACAGATAATAGTCTAATAACATTCAGGTTTTGCCCCAATTTGTACAGAATGAGTGAACATGCACTTTCACTGGGTAAATTGCTGGGTAAATTGCTATGTAATCATTTTTTTTTTTTTTTTGTAAATACACCTCAAAGAGTATATATACAGAGTGTATTTCCTAAAAACAAATAAAAATATTCCCACCCAAAAAGAAATCCCCAGGTCCTGACAACAATGTTGAAAATTCTGGATGACACTTACATTCGTTGCAGCAATCATCAAATGCTCATGTAAATGAACCCAAAGTCTTTTGGAAATGTTTGCGTTTGCAAACTTGTAAAAAAATTTGCCTTTACTTTAATCTTTTTCTATTAGCAACTCAATCTAACCTTATTTTAATGCTACGCTATAATTTCACGCAAACCAATTTTTTTTCTACTGCATGTGCCGTAGTATATAAAACTTTTCTTATGTAAAATGCATACCTTCAATTTTGGACTTTACTGTTCTGCAAAGTTCCATAAACGTTGCACTAATGTGATATAATTTCACCAGTAGAATTTGTTAATTTTATATTGTGATATTATATTGAAAATCACGTAAACACTGCAATAGGAAAAATACAGGACAATTATTTTTTTCTATATATTTTTATTATTTATTTCCAAGTAAAAAAAATACTAAAATATATTAATTCAAGTTTGCTACCAATAAAAGCTATAATTGTCCTGAAAAAAAAAAATAATGTATAATATATTAGGGTAGACTAAAATGGTAAAAGGCATAATGTGCAGAATTAAAAATGATCAAAAACAAAAAAATGCTCTGGGACTCAAGGGGAGTTAGGAAGAAAAAGGCCCGAGAATTACAGGGAGTAAATATAAACATTCTGGGAACTTAAAATGCTGACCAAAACACTTTGCTAAAAAAAAAAACACAAAAAAACACAAACTGCTAACTTTAATCTACACTAAACTAAACTCTTAAACCAAATATATTGTTGTTCTTGTCCTTTTAAAGTTTCTTTATTTTCTTATTTCAAATTAAAGTGTATGACATCCTAAATATTTATTTTTTTGTGTTCGCATATGTGTATTTTATAACTAATCTACCATTTTCATGCATTACTTCTATCCGAATCTATCTGGGGTTTTTTTTGTTTTTTTAAATAATTTTTTCAATACAAAAAGAGCATCTAATATACACAAAAATATAAGGAATTTCACCAATACACAAATTTTCCCAGTCCATACCAAAATCCTAATTTCTATCCTTTCTCATGTTTATCTATCAATATCTGTATCCCCTCCCTCTTATCATCTTCTCTCTGTCGGGTACTCCATTAAAACTCCCCCTACTACTCTACCGCCTATATTCCCACCAGTTCCAGATATCTTTTAGATGTTTTGAAAATAAACCAGCTACTCCACATTTTCCTATATTTTTCTATTCTCTCTTCCTCAATATGACACAACTCTTCCACCCTGTAGATATTTTACACTCTTATTAACCCAGTCATTTATTCACGGTGGGTCTGGGGCAAGCCATATTCACCCAACCTTTCCTTTGTGAGTTAAATATCCAGTCTAATATTCGTGATAATATCACCGCTTGATAATATTTCTTAACATTTGGCATACCCAAAGCTCCATTCCCTTTTGCCCTACACAATACCTCATACCTAATTCTCGGTTTCTTATTTGCCCAGATAAAATTAACCCCCCTGGCGGTATCCCGAGTGTGGCTCGGGGTAAAGTTTCAGCACCACAAGCGGTAACCCCGAGCTACACTCGGGAATACCATGCAGCGTTGCTCCGGGATCTCTTCTTCACTTACCTTGTCCTTCGCTCCCCGCGATGTCCTCCCTGCAGCGTCCCCTGCCATCTCCTCCGGTCAAAGCTGGCATCTGTCTTTCGGGTTCCGTTCCCTGTGACGTCGGGACATACGGGCGACCAGGGGCGGACTGACCATTTGGAAACTCGGGCACTGCCCGAGGTCCCAGGGTCAGTAGGGGGGCCCATGAGATGCCCCTGGTACCTTTTGCATAGGCTTTTTTGAGTTTAGGCAAGGACACAGGGGCCCCATGATCCCCTATTGCCCGGGGGCCCCATGAGTTGTCAGTCGGCCCCTGTGGGGGACGTAACCGTCGGGAAATTGAAAATGTCAAAAAGTGACATTCACTAAATACACTAAAATCACATAGTAAAACATTACTGTATCAAAGCATTTCACATACATTTTGTCCCGAGTGCTTTGTCCTGTGCCCTGCCTACATTTTTACTGTTCTTTCTGCCTGGAAACTGAGAAACGTCCACGGCGTCCAAAAAGCGTCCCTTTAGGTCAAAAGCAGTTTTAGACCAGCTAGAGAACAGCGATAGTAAATTAGAACCACTTTCAGAATTTAGTGATGTGATGTGCGCTCTATTTCAAATTTCAGTGTTTTTGGTTTGATTACATTATTGAATTACATTTATTATATTATTATTTTTTATGATTATTTATTAAATTATAATTTATGATTTCGTATTTCAAATTTTATCGTACCCGGGATGTTTACTAGACTCTTGTTCGGACAGATTTCAGTGACTTATTCCTAAGAATTACAGGCCTACAATAAAGAAACAACATATTTCCATGCAAAAAAAATTTACCGCTTTGAGCACAGAAATACTGACATAATCAGACCGCTACGGAGGCTACGTATCATCTTCTTTATTATCCTGAAGAAAGATCCTGGTAGATGTACAAGGAGCATGTGAATACCTATACAGGATTTTTGGTACTATCACCATCTTAACCAGGTTTATACAACCTATCCAGAAAGCACCACTTTTTGAAAATCTCCCCAGCTCCTCTTTTATTTCGTTTACGAATGGGATATAATTTGCCTGGTACAGGGTTTGTATTGAAAGAGTGCGTTTTATTTCCAAGTAGCCTATTTCCTTTTCCCTTCAAGGAAATGGAAAGTCTTTTTGTAGACTCAGCTACTCAACTTTTGGTATATTGATGTTCAAGATCTCTGACTTTGCAGGGTTTATTTTCAGATTTGATATCTCGCCGTACTGTTTTATAGTCTCATTAAATTATGCAACGTTATTCTATGATTTACAATATAGAACAACATGTTGTCTGCATATGCTGCCATCTTGTGCTCTACTTCCCTTATTTATTCCTGTTATGTCTACACACTTTCTTACCCTTGCCAGGACAGGTTCCAGGGAGAAAACAAATAATAAAGGAGAAAGTGGGCATCCTTGTCTGGTTCCATTATACATTTTAAAGAACTGAGAGAGGGATCCGTTGACCTTAACTGCCACTGATGGAACGCTATAAAGCCCTTTTATCCACTTTAACATTTTAGGCCCTATTTCTAAGACCTCTAATGTATCAATCTTGAAACCCCAATTAACCCTGTCGAAAGCCTTTTCGGCATCAATTGACAGGAATAATGTCAGCAGTTTTTCTCTTTTTACTCTGTGTAGGAGGAGCAATTATCTCAGACCATTGTCCCTGCCTTCTCTCCCCGGAATGAATCCTACCTGATCCAGGTATATCCACTCCAGCATCAACTCTGAAGTACCTAGTTGATCCTGCCTGTCATCTTTATTCCTTGTTCTAACCTGACCACACAAGGTACAGAAGCTGATCTGTGTTAGTGTGGTCAGTTTTTATCCTTTGCTTGGCCCATTCAGAATTACAAAGCACTGTGCAGACACACAAGGGTAGATTTACTAAAACTGTTGCAATCAGATTATGGTGCAGCTGTACATGGTAGCCAATCAGATTCTAACTTCAGCTTGTTTAAATATGACAATAAAACATGGAAGCTGATTGGTTTTTTTATGCATAGTTGAACCAGATTTTGCACTCTCCAGTTTTAGCAAAAAACCCCCACTGCATGCCTGTATTGGGTAATTTGTTCACAGCCACCATGTCCCCCAAGAAATCACTGCCTGCCTCTGGCACAAATCCCCTCCCAATCACAGGCTCCCTCTTGAACAGTCACCCTGCACAAGCCTAGCCTGCATCTTGCCTCAGCCTGAACAGTCTATGGAATACAGGCACACTGTCTGCCTGCACAGTGTCCTGTAAACCCATCCCCCACTATCAGGAAGAAGAGAGGTATGGTCACATTACAGTACTTTTTAACCTTCTAAAAAAGTAAGAAAAATAATTTCTGAAACTAAGCAAAGCCGCTATGGTATCTTCATAGTTATAACTGTATTATAAAGTTTCTATAACATTGTATACTCACAACTAAATTCTGGTGAACCTACTAGCAAGGTGTATCTTACAGTGGAAATGTTTTCTTGCTTCAGCTGAGATGTTGTCACTAAGGATGAGCTGAGCATACCTAGGTTCTGTTTGAGACAAGTTCGGTGAACATTGTAGACGTTTGGGTGCTGGACCCCAAGCCCAAGAAAGTCAATGGGAGACAAATGTTAAAAATCACATTTACAAAGAAAAGAAAAGTGGCATGAGTTTACCCCTAAAAAGTGTGGGACACAGCTTTAGATTAAAGTTTTTGTAAACCCTTACATATATCTAGTGAAGTGATTGGCCTCAAGTGATACACAGAGATTTAATAAATCCTCCTACATACGTTGTGCCTGTTTATCTGCTGTTTTCTCTACTCTACATTCATTCAAAGTGCTGAATTTATAAAGTTTGTTTGAAAGTTCAGAAAAAAGGAGGCAAGTAGCTGAAATTGCACACTGCAGAGCTCAGTGAGGGGACCTCTAAGAGCTGATTGGAGGAAAAGGACACACCACCCCTCCACACAGCTGACAGGAACAGAGGTGAGACTGTCAATTTGCTGGAGATCCTTCCCCTGTCACCAGTTTTCTCTTGGTGTCAGAAAATTAGTGATTCATGCTGATTGCAGAGGAATGAAGCAATGGACAGAAAGGGCACTTTGTGCTTTTAATTGAGACAGTACACACTATAGAGGGATATGCTTTGTTAATGTTTGAGGTTTACAACCACTTTAAGCACCCCAGGAAGCAGTTTAATCTTAGGTTGCTTAACCTCTTGGTGCCGGCCGAATGCAAATGTGCAGCCTCCTGGCGTCTGGGCCTAGACGCTGAGCAGCTGCACATTTGCATTCTACAAAAAAAAACATGTGCTGAGAGAGCACAGCCTGCGTGCTCCCAGCACAAACGATCGGTACTCACGGAAAGGTCCCGATCCCCTCTTTCGAGCGGGACCTTTCCCAGCAGATCACAGCGGTCACATGACCTAAAAACCCCACCCCACCTCCCGACTTCTGGAACCCTTAAGGGGCCGGGAGGCATCGGCACCAAGGGGTTAATCTGAAGCTGCATCTCTGATGAAAATGAGGTATAATGAACCCCAAACTATGCGTAGAGAATGGAGAAGTCATACTCAACACAGTGCCACCTTAATTTCTCCAAAACTCACAAGTGAATAACAACAATGGTCAGATTTAAACCTCATATCTGTGGTGGGCAGTCAAAGTGATGGAAAACAGCCAGCCTAAGACATAATTTGATACAAAAGAGAAAACGTTAGATGGAATGCAGATGTGTGATAACATCCCCTATAGCAGGGCCTGCCAAAGACTAAGCATTACAGTCTTAAATGGATGTCATAAAGTTGTCATGAACAGTTTGGAACCAATAGATATCTGTAAGTCTGATTTTATTTGAACTAAAACTGCTAGTGGGACACATTAGATCTCCTAAGGGAGATGTGCATAAGATCCATATCATAATCGGTCTCTAACAAATCGTAATTTCCTTCAGTTCAACAGCATGTTGGTTGTCAAATTGAGAAACCTCGTAAGATGGAAATATAGATGTATTTGGAATAATTGGCAGTAGGGTGTGTCTGCTGAAGCACAAAAAAATAACCTATCAGCACATCCCTCTGATGCTTTGATTGGGTGTAGTTAGATAAGTGACAAGTTCTTGAGGTCCAACAAAAGTTGCTACAACTGGCATCTTCAGCTCTCCTTGACACTGAAACCCCTAAAGATAATTTGAGAGTCACGTTTCAGAGGCTAATTTTGCTAAGTATTTTTCACTTTTAATTTTTTTTATTTTACTGTTGCTTATTGCCTGTTTTGCAGTTTTTTTTCCATAATTATTTTCATGCATCATTGCCTTTTTTTCATTAAACAGTATTTAATCATCAATAAACTGAATCTAAATGCCTTAATCAGATTTAGCACTCACCTCCGAAGGAGTTGCTGGATGTTTTGGGTCCCTTCTGCCCTGCACCTGTGATGAGCCAAGAACACTGACACACCTTAAATGGTTTAAATAGGTTTTATTAAAGAGAAGAAGCGATGCAGAATAAGAGAGTGGGAGTTAAACAAGTAAAATAACAATAGATCATAAAAAAAAACAAAAAAACAAAAATAGATCAAATACAGTTGGTTATTTGACACTAAGTATCCAAATGACACTCCTCATTCCCCACAGCCCCCTGAGAAATGGCACAGGTAAAATGCAATAAGTCGATGTTAGAGGAAAAATGATACATGATATTAACATAGCAAGACAGTCCCTGTCTAACCACTGGCCAGTGGAACATTATTTCAGTCCTGCCAGCGAGGGGAACCTTTACCTCTTACCCAGTGGTGTATTTAGGTTTTGTGATGCCCTAGGCAACACAAAATTTGCCCCCCCAGGAGAGAGCCTAACATTGACCAACAACACCCCCACCCGAAAGAGCCTTCCACTACCATAACCCCCATACACCGGCCACTCCCCTCCCAGCGAGAGAGAGAAAGACACCTTCACAACTCTGGACATCCCCAGGAACGAGAGTCAAGCAGCCCGAAGCCTCTGTCAGATCCACCTGCTTCCCAGGCCGCATGTGTCCCTTCTTCCGTCACTTCTTCCTGGGGAGCTGTGCTGCCCCCCTGAAAATGCTACCAAAGGCAAATGCCTTGTTTGTCTTGTGGTAAATACACCCCTGCTCTTACCACTGATATGACCAGTTCTTCTCCCAATCTGTCCTTCGGTGGCCATTGAAAGAGTCCTCCCTCTCAAGCCAGCTCTCTGCAGCTATGGCAGGCAATGGTAGCCGGAACACTCTGGAAACTGGATCAGCTCCAGAAAAAAAACAGCGCAACACGCAATCCTGATTCTCAGCAGCAGACAGTCTCCATGCAGCAGCATACACCTCTCAGGCTTAGTCGAATATATATAGTGTGGCACTACAAACCCCTCCTCCTTAAAAATCCAGATGCCCTAATGCTGTTATAACTCTAGTATACAATATATTAAATATGAAAAAATTTGAATAAAATGCACTTTCGCTACTGATGATGTTACACCAACAA